AGAGGCTCCTGGGGAGGGCGCAGCGGGACTGGCCCGGCCGGACATTCCCCCTCTGGGCTGCAGCCCGGGCTCCGGGGCCCCGCAGCAGCCCCCGCCGGGGCTCGGGGATCCGGCCCGGAGCCTGGCCCCAGAGTCCCCGCGAGCAGCGGCGGCGAGTCGCTTCCTGCGGCCGGGCCGGAGCCAGCGATCGCTCCCCCCGCGCCTGCTGCTGCTGCTGCTGCTGGGTCCTAGCGAGACACCCGCCATCCGCGCTGCGCTGCGCCCCTGGGCCTGGCTCTGCCCCGCTCACAGACCCCGCGGGAGCAGCCAGCCCGGGGGGGGGGGCTCATAGGGGCAAGGCGGGGCCCAGGATTCCAGGGGGCTCCAAGCCCTGGCTTGCTGGGGCCACTGGGACAGGGACTAAGAGGACCCCACCCCCACCGGCTCCTTCTGTGCCAGCCCCTTCCCTGCCCAGAGCTCAGATTCAATGCAATGTATGAAACAGCAGCGCATGGAGAAATAAGGAAAAACAGGGAAGGTTCAAGGAAAACACTCAGCCCCAGGCTGTGGGCTACAGGGAAGCACAAACCGCATCTCTGGCATGTAAGGGCGGTTCACAGCTCATGTGTTCACGGTCCACATGTCCTAGCCCTGGTGATGCTGCAGGACACACATGTTGCCGTGGGGGCCCCAGACCCTCAGGTCCTGGGTGGCAGGGCCCTTCTTCCCAGCTTCATCTCCCCCAAAGGGTTTATGATTTAACCCAAGTCTGGCCTGCAATTGAATCTACTGGAAAGGTTTGTATTCAGCCCTAGAAGATTTACCTGACATTGCTCAGGTCCTTAGCTGAGTTAATTTTTGTTGCTTGGAATATAAAATCAAAATGTCCCTGCTTCATGTAAATCATCGCTCTGGATGGGGTTCGGTGTGCAGATTGCCCCAGGGACAGAGTACCGCAGCAGCTTGGGGACAGGTGAGAAGCATCTCTCCATGGCTGCAGCAGCTCCAGCAAAGCGTGCGCTTTCCTTTCCACTCCTCGACAAACGGGAACAGCTCACAATGTCCCCATACAAATTTGGGGGTGGGGCACCTGGATGCTGAGGGGGGGTGGGAGGCTAGGATCTGGGTCTGTCCCAGATGCATATGGGAGGGTGCCATACAGGTGATCCTGTCTTTTTTTCTGTATGGCTGTATGAAAAACACTCCCATTCCAGGCACAACCTACTGTCCTGGTGCAATCGAACCCTTACTTTGCTTTAAGTTAGGATACGAGGAAGCCGTCTTAGTTCTTACCGTTTAGGAGCAGTTCTTGAACAAACAAAGATGACAAACTCTCTCCAATATACAGTAGACTTCCCAACTGGAAAGAAGGAAGACCAGCACCATATAGCATAGGACTATAGGACTATAATAGAGTTTAAAGAGAAGCTGGATAAATTCATGGAGGTTAGGTCCATAAAAGGCTATTAGCCAGGGGATAAAATGGTGTCCTTGGCCTCTGTTTGTCAGAGGCTGGAGAAGGATGGCAGGAGTCAAATCGCTTGATCATTGTCTTCGGTCCACCCTCTCTGGGGCACCTGGTGCTGGCCACTGTCGGTAGACAGGATACTGGGCTAGATGGACCTTTGGTCTGACCCAGTACAGCCGTTCTTATGTTGTTATGTTCTATATAAGCACTGGAACTCCCAAGTTACCAGATTAGTGGCAAGTTTATTTGCTTTGATTTCAGTGGGGTTTTTTTGTTTGTTTGTTTGTTTGTTTGTTTGTTTGTTTGGGGTTTTTTTTTGTCATGCTTCAAAAGCAGGCAGCTTTCCAGAGACATGTGTGAGAGGCCAGGCCTAGACCTAAACCACATAAGCACCCTAGGCAAGGAGCGTTCCAGGGGCCTCCAAATTCATTTGTTAAACTTTTATTACTCTAACACGTTTCCCAATTGTATTTGGCCACCGAACCCTTTTAAACTTGAAATAATTTTGCAGAACCCCTAATAACAGTCTTATATATGGAGCTGAAAAAACAGACCACAAATAAGTAAGGATAATAATAAACAAATGCTAAACAAGGTCATGAGATCAACACAAATGAAAATTGTTTTCATAAATGGTTAAATATTAATTATTGTTTTTAAAATCATGAAATGTGACTAATGGAATTTTCTCGCAGAACCCCTATTTTCACTTTGTGGAATCCCGGGGTTCCACCGAACATCATTTGGGAAACACTGCTCTAACCACCGAACACCATTTGGGAAACACTGCTCTAACAACATGAACAGACCCCTGCATCCTGCAGCCCCAAACCTGGCACTGGAGGGGTACCTGGATCACCTGCCCCTCAGTTTAGCCCTGTGATGGACTGTTCAAAAAGCAAATAGAAAATTCCATTACCAGTGGCAAAGTGCAGCAAAACAGGAATTCGAAGTCTTGAGTCCAGACATCACCTCTCTTTTTTGTTGTGTATATTCCCAAGCACTTTACACTTCATACCACGCACAAAGCACCTCACCCCCAACTCTAAAGGCAGAGAAGTATTAGACAACCCTCTCCTCCCTCCCCCCACCACGTTACAAGATAATAGAGAGTCGGGACAACGTCATTTCTGGTGTAACTATCTGGATAGACCCCCCCAGTCCTCCAGGGCATAGAGCTGAGCTAGAATGCTGGGTGGATGGGAATCCTTGGGATCATAGAGGATTGGATCGATCCATATAGAGAAGCGCATTTTTTCATTCCGAGTAGGCTCCCCCGTCCCCTCACTGTCTCACCCTCACTCCTCCGTCTTCATGCCCAGCTGCAAGAAATCCCTCAAGCCACCCAAATAATCATGACCCAGCTAGACAAAGAAATAAACAGCTTAGGGCGTGGACTGAAGCGGTGTAACAAAAATTATCAACATTTTGTAAATGATACTTTCATGAAAAGGAAATCGCCCTATAGTACATGTGGGAGGTGAAGTCACAAATACCATTTCTTTTCTTTATCATGCTTACAGTGGAAATATTTGTAATGAAAAAAATATAAAGCGAGTCCTGTACACTTCCTATTCTTTGCTGTGTTAGGATTCAATATATTTGAACACGCAGAAAAATGTACATTTATTGAGAAATTTCAACTGGTATTCTAATGTTTAACAATGTGACTCACAGAGATTCAGTTTTCTAACTACATCCAGTGTTGGAGTTAATCATGCAACTTAACGGTGATTAATCGTAAGTACTATGTTCTTCCTTTTTTCTTTACGAGTTCCTATTTCAAAGTTCTAATTAGCAAACATGCAGTAGCTTCTAATATATGCTTGTCTAACATGTCTCTAAGGCTACATCTACCCTGTGAACTATTTCAAAATAACTAGTGCTATTCTGAAATAACTTAGTCCATGTCTACACAGCAGGCAGTTATTTTGAAATAGTGTCAAAATACGGTGAAGCTGGAGGACTTCTTATTCCAACTTCTATAACTCTCAGGCTGTGTCTAGACTGGCATGATTTTGTGCAAAAGTGGCTGCTTTTGCGCAAAATCTTGCCGCTTGTCTACACTGGCCGCATTTGCGCAAGAACTCTGACGTTGTAATGTACAAAATCAGTGCTTCTTGCACAAATACTCTGATGCTCCCGCTCAGGTATAAGCTCTCTTGCGCAAGTATTCTTGCGCAAGTATTCTTGCGCAAGAGGGCTTATCACTGAGCGGGCACGTCAAAGTATTTGCTCAAGAAGCACTGAATTCTTACATTAGAATGTCAGTGCTCTTGCGCAAATTCAAGCACTTATTTTGCACAAAAGCACGTGCCAGTGTAGACGCTCTCTTGCGCAAATACTTTTAATGGAAAAACTTTTCCGTTAAAAGTATTTGCGCAAAATCATGCCAGTCTAGACGCAGCCTCATTGTACGAGAAAGGGAAATCAGAGGAAGAGTGCTCTGTTTCAAAATAAGTGCTGTGTAGATGCTCCCAATTTCTAAATAAGCTACGCAATTGACATAGCTCAATTTGCGTCGCTTATTTCGAGTTAAGCCTCACAGTGTAGACGCACCCTAAAGGTTTAATCTAGGTCAATTAGCCTCCAAGGTTCTCAACCCTTTTTGACCATGAGTCACAAAAGTTGAGCTCCTGTGTGAATTCCCCCATGTTTAATGAAGTGTGACCTCTGTGTGCAACTTTTGCAATAGTCCAAGCATCTATGGGGTCTCTCCCAAGCATGGATGTAAAACAAGGACTGATCTGATTTTGTAACTTTTCTTGCAGTCCAAGTACTTCTGAGTGGATTACCTCACGTGTTACAATATTTGCTGAGTGAAACTTTTTCTCAGTCCAGGCATTTAGGGAGTCTCACACTGATTCGTTTCTGAAATTTATCCCAGTCTGATCACTTACAGAGTTTCTCATTGTGGATAGCCTGACGTTGAGAAGGGCTGATCACTTTCTGAAACCTTTCCCACAGCCCAAACTGTCTCAGAGTTAAAATCCTGTATGGACTGACAGATATTTAACGAGGTCTGACCTCTGTATGAAACTTTCCTCAAACTCCAATCACCCATTGGGTCTCTCTCCTAAGGAGAACCTCTGATGTGTTAACATTTAATCTTTGTGTGAAACTTTTCCCACAGTCCAAAACCTTATGGGGTCTCCCTCCTCTGTGAACTGCTCAATGGTTATGACCCTATGATCTCCATATGAAAGATTTTCCACAGTCTAAGGATTTATAGGATCTCTCTCCTCTGTGTGGATAGCCTGATGTTTAACAAGGTTGGACTTCCGTATAAAACTTTTTTCACAGTCCAAGCACTTATGGGGTCGGACCCCTGTGTGGACTGCCTGATGTTTTTTGAGGTCCGACCTCTGTATGAAACGTTTTCCACAGTCTAAACAATTGTGCGGTCTCTCTCCGGTGTGGATTGCCTGATGTGAAACAAGAGCGGACTTCCACAGGAAACTTTTTCCACAGTCTAAGCAGTTATGAGGTCTCTTTCCATTGTGGATTGTTTGATGAATAAGAAGGGTGGACCTATGTGTGAAACTTTCCCCACATTGCAAGCATGTATTGGATCTCTCTCCTGTGTGGACTGCCTGATGTTGAACAAGCTGTGACCTAATCGTAAACCCTTTTCTACAGATTAAACACTTATGGGGTCTGTCTCCTGAGTGGACTGCCTGATGTTTATTGAGATCTGCCCTCCGTAGGAAACATTTTCCACAGTCTAAGCACTGATGGGGTTTCTCTCCTGTGTGGATTTTCTGATGCATAACAAAGGCTGACCTCTGTACGAAACTTTTTCCACAGTCGGAGCACTTGTGAGGTCTCTCTCCTGTGTGGATGGCCTGATGTTTAACAACATCTGACCTATGTATGAAACTTTTCCCACAGTCCAGGCACTTATAGGGTCTCTTTCCTGTGTGGATTGCCTGGTGTTTAACAAGCGCAGACCTATGTATGAAACTTTTTCCACACTCTAAGCAGTGATGAGGTCTCTCTCCTTTGTGGCTTGCCTGATGACTAAGAAGGGACGAGTTCCACTTGAAGCTTCTTCCACAGTAGGAGCACGTGTGGGGTCTCTCCCCTGTGTGGATAGCCTGATGTTTAACAACATCTGACCTATGTATGAAACTTTTTCCACAGTCTGAGCACTTGTGAGGTCTCTCTCCTCTGTGGATTTTCTGATGTTGAACGAGGTTTGACCTACACATAAAGCTCTTTCCGCAGTCCAAGCATTTATGGGGTCTCTCTTCTAGGTGGACTGCCTGATGAATAATAAGGTCTGACCTCTGAATGAATATTTTTCCACAGTCTAAGCACTGACTGGGTTTCCCTTCTCTTGTGTGGATTTTCTGATGTGAAACAAGGGCTGACTTCCATCTGAAACTTTTCCCACAGTCTAAGCACTTATGGGGCCTGTCTCCTGAGTGGATTGCCTTATGTTTATTGAGGTCTGATCTCTGGATGAAACATTTTCCACAGTCTAAGCATGTATGGGGTCGTTCTCCTGTGTGGATTTTCTGATGCATAAAAAGGGCTGACTTCTGTAAGAAACTTTTTCCACAGTCCAAGCACTTCTGGGGTCTTTCTCCTGTGTGGATTTTCTGATGTAAAACAAGGGCAGATCTTCTTTTAAAACTTTTCCCACAGTCTAAACACTTATGTGGTCTCTTTCCTGTGTGGACGGCCTGATGTTTAGTGAGACATGACCTCTTTACGAAACTCTTCCCACAGTCTAAGCACTTATAGGGTCTCTCTCCTATGTGGCTTGTCTCATGTATCATCAGTTTCTTTTCCTTGAGTCCTTCCCCACATTTAACAGATTCATCCATTTGCTCACTTATGTGGTTTCCCAGCAGCCTCTCGGGTCTGTGCCAATTTCCCCAGGCTTCTCTCTGTTCCAAGCACTGGGAAAAATTCCTTTCAGCTCTTCCCACAAATGTTGCCTGCGGTTCTATTTCCACAGAAACTTCCTGCTTTTGATTACCCTCTTTATTCTCACTCGCTGTCCCGTCACCTCCTGAGAGAGAGAATCAAGGAAGGAGTCACTGAGGTGGGGAGAAAGAAGAACAGCACCAAGGGAAAACCCAACACACTAAAATTGCACAGAAAAAGCAATTGGATTGTTTTTCTGCTTCCCACACACACACTCACAGGGAAGGAAACTCCTGAAGGTAACAGGCCTGGTGGAAAACCATGAGGAATATCAGCTGGACTACACCAGCCCTTCATGAGATGAGGCAGTACCGAGAGCAATTACCAATACCTCATTTTTGGGACTCTTAACATTTCCTTCATTCAGCAGCTAGTTTCTGTGCCAGTCCTCACCTGTGCAGGTGCCTTTCGGGATCTCTCTTTCCTCTCTGGCCTGGCGGTCGGGCACCCAGGGCTCTTCCCCTCGTTCCAGCTGGGCGATCAGCTCAGGTTTGGGAATGGGAAACCCTGCGCAGGGGGTGAAATCAGAGCAGATCAGGGCGCATGGAGGGTGGGGAGAGCGTCTGTCCCAAGGGACATTCCGTGAGTGGAACCTGTCCCCGGGCTCTGCTGGGGAATGTGCAACCCAAGAGGACGGGAACATGGTCACTGAGCCCCCTGGGGAGAGGCAGACGTGTGGGGAGGTGAGAGGAATTGTGACGCCCTCCCTAGGAGTTCCCAGGATCTGGGCAGTCTGGTGCCCTTGCTGACACTCACAGCTCTGCAGTTACACTCCTGCCTATTTCTAAACCTACAGAGCCCAGAGCCCTCCCCACTGCTGGAGAAGCAACACAGACAGGAGGATACTTGGCCCCTTCCCCTTGAAATCTAGAGGGGCCGGGTGAGGATGATTTAGCACGTCCATTAGGGTTTGACACCCTGGTCTCACTGCACAGGGCATGGAGATGCAAGTGGCTCTCGCCCGGCAGCTGTGCCCATGGAACCCATTCCTGTCCAGGCCACCTGAG